ATTCCATTTTAGGACAGAAAAGAATGTTTATCCATGTTAAAAGTGAGTTCTAATTTTTATCATTTCTCATTTTCATGAAATAATTTTATTGCCAGTTCTATGTAGAATGGAGACTTTAGGGAATCTCAAAACTACATTTGAAAGATGAGTGCAAGAGATTAACGGCTCGTTTGATTCTTGTGTCGATTCTCCAGATCTCATGCTCGTTCGATTCTTGTCGACCTTCACTCCGTCTTAGACGTGATTCCATCCCAGTCGAAGTCTTATTATCGTGTTTACTGTTAATGAGCGGCAAGTTGTAGAAAGCGAAAGTTAATGAGCGGCGAATAGTTCCAAAGTGTACTCAATAGACCTCTAGTTCCCAGTGTGGGGAATCCTTATTTGTTGTAAGACAGTAATCATCGAGTCGCTTCACATGATCCCGACCACATATTTGAATATTTTAAGTCAGATATCTTGTGACTAGCGATACATGAAAATGCTCTTTATTGATCGCTGGCTAATATTAAACTCTGCAGTTAGATTTTTGAAAAAGGACCAGTTGAAACCTGCGAAATACTGAAGGCAACGATGACATTGTATCCCTTCAAAAATTTTCAAAGATTTTGTTTTGTTTTGTTTTCGATAGTTATAGAGAAGAACAGAAATGTAAAGACACATCAGTGATACGAATTGATGAGAAAATCTGGCTACCATGTACGAGCAATAAAGGATTTATCGAAAAGGGAGACTCTTCGAGAAATATTTGCGAAACACATGTAAGTGGTTTGGTTTGGTTTGGTTTGGTTTGGTTTGGTTTACGTAATTAAGGCAAAACCTCGAGAGCTATTTGCCTAAGGCGAAGGATGCTTTCGTGGAGGACATTTCTAAGGTAAACTGACTGGTATACACGTTACACATGGGAAAAACACGGAAACGCCCATGCAGCCAGCCTGTTCGCAGAATTCGAACCTTGGACCCGAACTACCAGTTTTCAGCGACTTTACCGCTCAGCCGCTGGTAAGCCCACATGTAACTGAATACTAACACTTAATTTCATATAAAGTGCACAGAAGTTTTTAGAAACGAAAATTGGAAACCAAAATTACATACAGAGAAAGGTTAATTTCGCTTTTCTGCTAGAGAATAGAAACAAACAAATATAATTTCCTAATTATAGAACATCTTCCAATTCTTCCCTATAAATTCCAAATATCGAATTTAAAGTAGATATTAAACCTAGAAACTAAATTTTTAGCAACCACTGACAGGATTAAAATTCTTGAGAAAGGCAATAAGAAAACGTACTGTAAAGTATGAACTTCGAAAAAGGTAAAAATATTGGTGAACTGAATGATCTCTTCCTCTTTCACTTGTGATGGCATCATTTCGAATTTTGTTCTTTTATACTGCCAATAATTTGGGGCTACAAAATTCTTAATCCACTTTTAAATTCATCATTCTGAATATTAACAATAATAGTTAAAAATAACTCTTCCAAAATTTGTCTTGCAGTTTCACCGAAACATAATGTATATAACAATAAAAAAGTAACAAATTGAAATCTAAAATCTATCATTTAAATCAACTCATAATCTTAATTCAAATAAAATATAACGAATATATTATCCGCATTAATATTATCGGTAAAACGAATCCATAAAAATGTAAACATATGAAATAAACAAAATATAAAATAAATAAATAAATAAAATATAAAAATAAATAAATAAAATAAAAGTTAAAAAGTATTAAAAAAATCTGAAAGCATTCATATTTTATAATTACGCCCAAAACTGCGTGTTTTTAATGTTTTCTTTCGTTTTCTTTATTTATTAAATATCATGTTCTTTGCACTTAAACAATAAAATTCAATTGAACAGCAATATCACAAAATAATTTAAAAAGAGCATATGTTTAGAATCTCCCATACAGCGTCTCGCGCGCTCTAGACGAAAAAAAAAATTTCCCCCGTACAGTGTTGCCATTATTCACTTTGAAATTGTTGAGTTTGTTAATAAAAATTTGTTAAAGTTTTACAGAATTTTAAATAGATAATAAAACAAATTATTAATTCCAAATTCGGGCCTCCAGGTGCCCATGTTCGGTTGGAGGACTACGTTATTCGAAAGGTGATGGCTCTAGGCACCGTTGCTTCTTCACATTGCGAGAAACATTCATGCATGCATGCAGATTCTTTATTATTTAATTTCTTTAAGTATAGTTCATGGAGATATTATTTTGTGGCAACAGTTTGAAAAGTGAATAAACGCGAAATCCCGTTTGGAAATTAATAGCCCCTTTGGGCTAAAAATATATAAGGTAACTCGGAGCTGGATTTACAATAAACAAACTAAGCACGTGCTTAGAACATCAAGGAAAGGGAGCACCAAGAAAAGAGTTTAAAGAAAGGGAAACCATATAATTTCCAGTTTTGCCAGTTTTATCATGTATAATGCAGCTAAACTAAGCCAGGAACGAAGAAATAAGAATAAAACTGGCATAAATATATGTGAGGGCACCCAAATCTTTAAGTGCCTAGGGCAGGGATGCTCAATTTACGGTGGCCCGCCGGGAGATTTTCTGCGGCCCGTAATTAATCTTTTGATAATGTGGCTTGCGACCAGAAAAAAGAATTGATTAAAGCTATAAAACATGTTTTGCTGAGTGCATTTTGGTTGTTTTAAGCAGAATTTTTATTTGAAAGAAAAAAAATCGCTTTTGTTGCAAGGAAAAAAAAAAATTGCAACAATTTTTTTCCATTTGTGCTGAGTTAGTAGTTTTTTTTTTTTTTAATTTTTTATTTTGCGATACTTTCGTAATTCAGTTTTGTAATTGTAACAAAATCTCCCTGTTTTTGGAAAAGTTGCATTGTTGTGTTATTACACGTAAATGGATGTGCGATATACATATAAGTATAAGCAAAAACGTTGTGCTGTTAAAAAAGACCAAAAAAAAAAAAAAAAAAAAAAAAACTGAAATGTTTCAGATTTTAAATTACGTCCAAAGGGGCGTTTTTTTAACGTTTTGAGTGTTACCTTTATTTATTAAATATCATGTTCTTTGCACTTAAACCATAAAATTCAGTTCAAGAGCAATATCGCAAAATAATGTTAAATTAAGCATATCTTTAGAATTTCCGATATACACAGTCTCGCGAGCTGGAGATAAAAGTATTTTTTTTTCTATATAACGTTGCCATTTCTCGCTTTTAAAGCATTGAGTTTGTAAATCAAAAATTCGTTAAAGTTTTACAAATATAAAATCTATAATAAAACAAATTCCAAATTTGGGATTTCAGATGCCCATATTCGCAGTAGGATTTCGTCATTCAAAATTCGATGGCTCTATGTACCATTGTTTTTATCACAATGCGAGAAATAGACAATCATTTATGCAGATTTTTCATTATTTAATTTCTTCAAATATAATGCAGGACTCTAACATTTTGTGGCAACAGTTTGAAAAGTGAACCGACGTTTATGAGTCCGACACAAAATCGCAAAACGAAAACAATAGTCCTTCAGAGACAAAGCCCCTTTGGACTAAAAAAAAAAAAAGAAAAAAAAAAAAAAAAAAGAAAAAGAAAAAAGTTCTTTAGCTGCCAAAAGAGCAGTAAGTGAGTCGAGACGATGCTACTGTCAAAACATGTTTTTCCGCTTTTCAAGTTTCGTTTCAACATTTTTAATTTTAATAGTTTCAACAGTTCAACAATGAACAATTTTTGATTCAAGAGGTTCTTTTGTCATCGAAGTTGTGAAAGTAAGTTAAATTATTTGGTACAATCTGATTATATACTTAGGATAAGGCGATAATATTTTAAATTTTCATTTTCTCATTTGCATTTGGAATCGTGTGCTTCTTTACTGTAAACGAATTCTTTTTTCTGTTGACGTAAACTTGCAAATCATTGTTTGCAATTCTGTAAATATTAATATTTAAAGTCAGAATCAAAACAGTACATCATTTTTCAAGTTTTTGATTACTTTTATAGGTAATTAATATAAAGTGCAAATGTTTGGGTTGATATTTTTTAAACATAATAATAAGAGTTACTGATAAAATATTCTAAAGTGCAGCCTTAACCAATTTCAACATTCCTTAAATGACCCTTTACAGATTTGAGTTGTTCATCCCTGGCTTAGAGCTTCTAACAGTTTTAATCAGACTCTGATATGACTGCTCAATTTAATCCTACTTTGATTTAGCTCTTAATTAGGTTCTCATACAGCTCTCGATGTGGTTACTTAAAGCGTTTCTTTTATACAGCTGTAAAGCTTGATCTGGCTGTGTTACAGATGTTAAATTCAGTGCACTCGATCTAAAATTCTAGGTTGAAAGTTTAATTTTAAAAATTACTTTTAGCCTAAGGAATTTAACTTAATTTAAATTTTAATCATGAAATATTTTTGTATGAGAGATTTCGATTTGAATTTTTAAATAAAGAGTATGTTTTAGAACTTGGAGCGAAATTTTTATGAATGACTGAAAAAAAAAAAAAAAGTATATAGAAGAGCAATAATATTTGAAAGCACTGCAACAGGAACAAAATCTTTTTTATATGGGCAAATATTTTATATGTTATAATAAATCAACAAAAAATCAATAAGTATACTTTCAGGATGATGCCCGCATTTCTTACACTCCTTGTTCTCTTCGCATATTTTGCATACATACTGGGGCTCTCTTTTATCTTTATCTTCGCATTTGCAGTTTGACGGAGAGTTTTGTTTCGGAGACATTTGGATATAAATTATTGCTATAAATAAAAATAATATAGCATACGAAAAAAGCTCGAGAACTCGTTGATGAGATACACTGACAACCGTTCATAGATTATTCCAAAATTTTTCTGTCAGCTTAATCTATGTCAACATAACAATAGTAAAATCACAAAAGGAAATTTTGGTAATATTACGTCAGGACTCCCCACCCCCTTTTCCAGTAAGAAAAAATATTCGTAAAATATCTTTTTATGGAAATGATTCATGCTTTGCTACGTGAATGAAATCTGGCAACAAGTTTAAACACGGAAACAAGATTCGTGTGTGGTATTTACATACTTTTCTTATAACTGGCGCACTGTATAAACTTTTTTTTAACACTAAAGTTGCCGTTATGATAACATTATTGTACATCTTTTGATATGGTTCATTTCCACTGATTCTGTATTAAAATTTGAATTATGTACTCAATCGCCGCACCTGATACGCCCAAGTTAATATTTTGTTACTCGTCCAGCTTCTTGCTGTTGCCGAAAGGTGATTTGGGGTGCATACATTTTAACAATATCTGATGACTAATTTATGCTTTGAAGGACATACTGATAAAGTACTTGTTTTAAATACATTTATGCATAGCATATGAAGAGAAAACTTGAAGCATAGTTTTGAAAAGAATAGTGTTTTGTACTGTGACAGCTGAAAATTTAATATTGTTATATACATAACCAAGTAAGTATTGCTTTCAAAATTTTTTTTTATCAAATCTGAGCATGAGTGATAATGTACCAGAGTTAAATCAGGCATTTTATGCTCATATTAATTGTATAATGGTGCAAAAATTATTTTTAATACAGTGTCACTAGTATTTTTGAGTTCTTGCAATCTTATTGAATTAGCAATGCACTTTTGAAAGAAACGACTATAAGTTTTACATAGCTGTTCAAGTTAACTTATGTTTCCAATATAATAATGTATAGTATATATATATATATATATATATATATATATATATATATATAGGGTTTAATTTCCATTGAAATAGAAAATCTGTTATTAAAACAAGATTCTGCATGAATTATGAAGGTTTGAAATTAAAAATTATAGCTGATCAAATATCGCACCTAGATTTGAAAATCTTAGGTACCATATTTTATCATTAGTATCAATTCTATATGTGATCATAATGTAAAAAGTTAAGTTATGCTGTTTGATTCCAGCTTTATGATCTAATATATGATCATTATTTTGATATATACTATCTTAATCTTTGATCACCATCTTGATATTTTGGAGGTGTTTTATTTAGTGCCAAAGGGGATTCCTTCGCATGCTTTATTATGAAAAAATGAGCTGTGCATACATGATGTATTAAGTATATGCTAAGACAAGATGCTATTCTCAGAAACTACTCTTTCTCCTATTTTTCATATATATGTATATAAATAAATAAAAACACTACTCTTCCGGAGGTTTGGATTTTGTATTTTGTCAAGTTTTTTGGATATCACGAGAATAATTATATGAATGTAATACATTTAACTTCGTATTAAGTAGAATAATACCAGGGACGAGTCCATGGTTAATGCAGAATTGTGATTAATCCTGGAACATTGAAAGTACTAAAGTTTTATTTTATTTTTTTTTAATGGCGGGCTCTAGTTTTTTGTAGGCATTGGCCACTACTAAGGCCAGAAGTTGTGGCCAGTGTACTATGGAGGCATCTAATAGGTGTGCCTCTGTTGCCTCTATGAACAAATGGACAAATTATATCCATGCTTTCTCCGATATTCGAACCTGGACCCTTCGGTACAGCAGTCTGAGTCACTAACCACTTTCCTCTCTGGTCAGCTAGGAAAGTACTAAAGTAGTTCATTAAAAATAACTCCAAAATGTATCTGCTATTACCTCTGTTTTTTCATACATATTTTCCTTTTCTTTCACATTTTTCATGGATAGTTTTCTTTAACTGTGTTGGTTTTTTATGGTAATTTTCCATCACTTCGTCAGTAAGTAAATTTAATTTTCTTTTTAGACAGGGCTTGGTTAATCAGGATTTGACGTAATAAATTATTATGGGGTCTAAAATACTGCATTTACTGCCTCTTTAATTAAAATTTGCAATAAAGTATTGGGAAAAAAAATTCCTTTACCCAGGATTTCTGCCATCTAATTAAATTTTACATTACTATTTATGTTTGATGTTAAGTTGCAGTCTTCTAAGCAAGTTAAAAAAATATCAGTACTTTTCCGTTTCGCCAGCGCAAATATCGCCAAGCAGACTTTATTGGCAACAACATACAGTATACGCATAAAAAATATTAAAAAAATGTTAGTTCTAAGAATTCTTTTTTTGAAGGCATAAACATTTTAATATCGCTTAAAATTTTATAAAAAGCCAATAAATAAAGACAATTTGTAAAAAGACATTAATTTTAAGAATTTACTATACTTTCATGGTTCAACATCCTGATTCGCCGGTTCATATCATGTGACCCCAGCGCACATCTCACGTGAACTACTCTACAAAAATCTAATGCTCTCAGTAATTATCTACATTAATTTCAAGTTAAATCTTAGTTTGGAACACAAGTTTAAATGCGAGAAATATTTCAATTTGTACTCAGAAATTATGTAAAACTGCAGTGCTTTACTTCGCTAATGTATTCTCGTTAGAATTGATGAATTTAATTCTTGACTTTACCTTTTCTATATTTTCAGCTTCGGATAAGCGCTGTAATTGCATCATAATTGACTTAATTACCGAAAATGGCCTTAGACATAAAACTGAACTATCTGATAAAAATTCTATGTAATTATATGCCAGTATTGAAAGAAACAATCAATCGGATAAGAAAAAGCTGCGACTTGTTTTGAAAATGAGACGTAAAAGGTTACCAGCGAGAATATTCCATTTGGCATCGGTTGTACCATTATTGGCGACTTTAACGCTTGCGCCGGCAAAACAGAAAAGTACCAAAATATCTCCAATGCCATGCATCATCTCATTTGCACTTGAATAACGTTAAAATTCATTGGAGAAGATCCATCAGAAACTCCAGTCTAAATGGAGCTATTAACAGATAATTAATGTGCATAAATTAAATTAAAAATAAATATTCATAGTTACACAGTAAGACAAAAATTTCAAAGCTTTTTGTAATTCTTTGAAAATTCTCTAACAATAGCATATTTTGGGAATTACTAATATACGAGGGTTGGAACTTTAATAGTGGCAACTATTTATTTACAAGGAATACAAAAGTGATTCATGTCACCATGTTTTACAGTCCTTCAATATAGTCGCCAGCATTGTGTACAACCCGTTTCCAATGATGTGGAAGTCGCAGAATACCTGTAGCAGCGCCTGTTTTGTAGATAGTTTGAATGGACCGGTCTACTGCTGCAAGAATCTCGGGAACAGTTTGGAAGCGAGTGCCAGGAAGTGGTTCCTTCATCTTAGGAATTAAGTCATAGTCACAAGGGCTTAGATCTGGGAAGTATGGTGGATGGTAAAGAACTTCCCAGCCCCATCGCTTGAACAAATCAGTCACCGCTTGCGCTGCATGTGGCCGAGCATTGTCATGCAAAATGAGAGGAGTGTTCTGCAGAAAGTGTCGCCGTTTTTTTCTCAAAGCTGGTCGGAGATTGTGCTCATAAAATGAGCAGTAATACTGCGCAGTGACGGTCTGCTGTGGTTGAACGGTATGCGTTAGGATGACACCATCACAGTCGTACATGAGAATCACCATAACTTTCACATTGCTGGGGTTCTCACGAAATTTTGAACGTTGTGGTGACCTGTGATGACGCCATTCGTTTGATTGGCGTTTCAGTTCTGGCTGGTACGATCGGGCCCAAGTCTCATCCAGCATAATGATACGGCGTAAAAAATCATCTCCTTCGTGCTCATAGTGCTCCAGGTGGGTTCGGGCAGCATCGCATCGTAGCCATTTCTGCATTTCCATCAATTGATGTGGAACCCATCGTGAAGCAATTTTTCTCATGGACAGGCATTCCTTCAGAATGTGCAGCACAGTCGTATGCGTTAATCCTGATTATCCGGCCAGCTGACGAATCGTTTGGCGGCGATCACTGTCCATTAGTGCGGCAACAGTGTCGTCCGAGTGTCTGCATCGCTGACACTCGGACGACCTGGCCGCAGCATGTCTGCCACGTTTTGGCGTCCTTCATTGAATGCTTTCACCCATCTTGCTACAGTTCTGTAAGGCAATGCAGATTCCTTGCAAGCCTCTTGAAGCCCTTGATGACACTGTCGTGCTGTATGACCTCTGGCACATTCAATTTTTATTCAACATCGTTGTTCTGGTTTTGAAAACATCCTGACAACACTTACTTTAGACCGCGAGCTAATACAAGGATCCGTTCTTCCTGTCACTCCGCATGCGCGTGACGTAGGCAGGACGAGTCTTTTTGCTGAGAGGTAAGGTAGGTATGTAGTTGATGTGTAGTATACGCGATATTCTTTGGTTTTGTTGCATAGCATTTTTTCAGCTGTGTTGCCACTATTAAAGTTCCAACCCTTGTATGTACATCGACATAAGCTAAAGAAAAGCAAATAATACATAGTTTTCACTATTTCAATTTACCTAATAATATATTTTTTATTTGTTTAATTTTAACTGGCTGCTGATTTCATAGATTTAATCTGAATTTTTTCTTCTTCTTCCAGGCAAACATGTCAGCAAAGGACAAGAGAAGTGGGAATTTGGTAAACCTATGCATTTTATTTTGTATATTTGTGTGAAAGTAGAATATAATACAAAGTAGTTGTATATAGAATTTATTATATGATCTTCATTGCATATTTTTATTGTTTTGTCTTCTGTGTTCATTTGTCGCTTTCACATATATCTTTGTTCGGTGTGTTATTTTATCTTAATCATGTTAAGTTATTAAGATTTATTATTATTAGTTGAATTATTACATTGTGTAAAACATGCCAGGCCTAACTGCTCAGTGTAATGAATTAATTACTTATCCACTACAAAAAGAGAAACTTTCTATAGTTGAATTCAAGATATGACCTTATGTTTAAACATATCAGAATGCTAATTTAGTTTAAAATAACATACTGAACAAAGATTAATTTAGAAATCAAACAACAAAAATATAATGCCGATTTTTGTTGTTTGACTTTTAAATTAATACAGTAACGTGGTTTATTTGGTATTGTGATGCTATGTGGTTCATAAGAGATTAAATACAAATACATATGATGAGAGGTTGATAAAATTTATTTTATCAAAAGAAACACTTCTGAAAGTTCTGAAATTGTTTGCAGAAATACTCATACAGGTGTATAGCAGTTCCCTTTAATATTATCTTTATTGTTGCAAAGTTTAGTTTCTGTAGATTGCCAACAAGAAAGAATGAAACAGAAATGAGTTCCCCTTGATATTGTAACTCTAATGTCATCTTTTATTATTGTGAATTTAGGAAAGTCTCGAAACCTCTTCCTAAAAAAGTAAATATTATCTTGAGTTATAGATTACCTAAAACCATTCACGAATTGCGTACTTTTCTTAGTCTAATTAAATTCTATAGGTGATGTATCAAGGATGCTGCCAAAAATCAGTCAATCCTCCATGAGTATTTAAAAGGTGGGAAGAAAAAAAGATAAAAGCAAAATACCATGGACCGAGGAAGCAAAAGAAAAATTTGACCAATGCAAAAAAAAAAAAAAAAAAAAAAAAAAAAAAAAGATCTGGCAAATGCTGCATTGTTTTCCTAATCCTGACTCATCATTAGCTCTGTTCAATGATGCTTCGAACTATGCAGTTGGATCTGAACTGCAACAGTGGGAAGAAGGCAATTGGAAACCCATAGCTTTCTTTCCCAAAAAGTTAACTGTCCTCAAAAAGGATATAGCACTTATGATAGGAACTCTTAGGAGTATACCTCTTGATCAAACAATTCAGCCACATTCTAGAAGGAGGCAGTTAATTTACACTGACCATAAAACATTGATGTTGGCTTTTCATAAAAAAAAAAAAAAAAAAAAAAGACAGAGAAGGCCTTATTTAGACAGGTTCGTCATTAACAATATATCTCGGAGTTTTCAACAGATATATATCACATTGGCAGAAAAGAAAAAGATTATGATAAAATTGCGGATGCACAAATCAATAATAAAGATCTCAACGAGCTATGCTCAAAACTATCTTTACATTTTAAGTCGTATCCTTTGGACACTGGTAAACTACTTTGGTGTGGTATTTCAATAGCAAAAATTTGTCCATTTATACCTCAAGATTTTTGGAAGCACATACTTGCAAAATTTCACAGCTTAGCTCACCTTGGTGTGAAGTCTACATTTAAACAAATACTTCCAGATTTATTTAGCTAAACATTTGAAAAGATATAACCCAGTAGGCAAAACTTGTGTCCATTGTAAAAAAAAAAAAAAAAAAAAAAAAAAAAAAAAAAAAAAATTTCCACACATATGTGTGCACAAATTGCCACTTTTAAAGGAGTAGGTGATAGATTCAGTATTAGTCCCATTGATATTATAACCCTGTTTCCTACTTGTGAAGGGAAAACACAATGCCTAAAATGCATTGATTGATTCACATGTTAGAAGTTATTCCTGAGCAAATGAATGATGAAACAGTAGCTCGAGAATTTATCACTGGATTTCAGTCTTTGGAATGCCATACCGTGTAATCACTGATCAAGGTAATAAGTTTCGATCTGAACTTTTCAAAACATTGGTGTTATTTGGAGATTTAAAGTATGCACAACAATGGCATATCATCCCCAATGTAATGGAAAAATTGAAAAGATCCACCGAACTTTAAAGGCTGCAATCAGAGCACACAATTCTATTGTCAACAGCTGTGTTAGTGTTAAGATTGGCTCTGCGTGGTGATACAAATTACACCATTGCACAGATGTTTTATGGAAAATGTATCAGGTTACCTGGAGAATTTTTCAACAAACCACAAGATATCTTGTATACCAAGATGTTTGCTAAAGAACTACAGAAACAAGTGGAAGTGTTAAAAGAAACTCGCCGAAATCCTTCTCAAAGTTTTTGTCCATAACGACTTGTATCATGTTTTCATACGCATTGATAGAATTTGAAAACCATTAAAATCTCTTGATGATGGACTCTTTCCAGTTGTTAAGAGATACGACAAGTATTTTATTGTGATCATCAAACGCAGAGATGTCAATATATCTATAGACAGATTAAAACCAGCGTTTCTACTCTTATATGCGCCCTAAGATCACCAAATGTGGCGATATGTGTTCTGTGCTGGTTTTTGGCATGATTATGTGTTGTATGGCAACCCTTTAGATGTTGAATACACTTTTGCTGGAATGTTTTAATTCCTTGTTCGTGCGTGTTTTGGAATGGCCTATGTTGCAATGAGAGACGGGGTTGCAGGAGGGTCTGGAAGATTATTTGTAGTGGCTGTGCATGATAGAAGTAAGGAAATGCTGATGCAGTGTATTAAAGAGTGGATTGAGCCTTGTACAACTATTTTTTTGCATGGCTGGAAATCTTACAAGGATTTAGGAAAAGAAGGTTTTCAACATTTATTTGTGAACCAAAGTATGAATTTTCTGGATATAGTGTCCGGCTGTCATGTAAGTACGATAGTGATTACATGGTGGCATGAAATTAGTATTTCTGCTGTTCGAAAAAGAATTAATTCATGGTAAGTGCATTTTATTTCATTCTTGTTCTTATTTTGTAGAATGTTACGTTCATTGTTTTTTTAGTATGAATTTCTGTCATTATTGTTTTTTTTAATTGTTTGAAATTTATTTTAATTATTTTAATTAATTTTGTTGATTAATGCATAGTGCCTAGATTCTGCAATTAGTAGATATTTATTAATGTTGAAACAGAATGCTGTGTACTTGGTATTCTTTGAAATTAATTTTGTTATGTTAATTTATTAAAGCGAGGTGTGCGTAGTTTGTAGATTGTTTTGCTGCCTACATTGTGCAATTCCTAGATTTTTTTTGGCACAGCTTTAGTATAGCCCACCTGGAATTTTAAACAAAAAAAAAAATATCACCAAGAGCGGCGATAAATGATATGATCTGGTAACCCAACGCAATGTAAACAAGAGGATGGAATTACGGTTACAGCTAATTTAGTAGTCAGTTACATTTATTCAATTTCAATACAAATTACCGACATATCCGTTTACTCAAAGTTTAATGCACGTGCCTTGTATTCTTACTTTTCCGGTATAGATTTCTCTTAAAATTTGTCTCACGCTGCGTTGCAGGAGGAAATACAGCATTTTAAATTAGAATTCTACTAAAATTAATATCTAAATACACAATTCGTAACACTGTTATTGGCGATTGTTTAACGCTCAGATACCGTGAATACTATTTTGTATATATATTTTTGGCTACTTGAGGTGATATTTTTGCGTTTTAGTTATTGCTTGCTCTAAAAACTGCTGTTAGTGATGTTGTAATTAAATATCAGGAGATTATAAAGGAAAATTTAAGGTGGGAGTTTTCAAACAAGCGTAAAATTTTGGAAACAGATATTTTATGTATGAATTAACAATAGAGTATGAACGTTTTAGAGGATTTTTGATGGATTATCGATTATTGAAGGATAACGTTTTCTGTGAAAAATTTAAGATACCATGCTGGTTAGTTAGTCAGAAAAGTCATCGAATGGTAGTATTTGCAAGAAATGTACGGCTGAGAAATCAATTAGGCTAGGATCTTGATTCGCCTGTAGTAAACTCAATTTTTCTAGAAACTTTTTTTTTTTTTTTTTCCAACGCGAATTAATGGAGTTGCTTATGCGCGAATTTCTGCAATTCTCCGATTTCTTTTAAGTGAAAGCAGATTTTTAGTATATGAGCAATGCAGAGTCTATTCAATTTCTGATTTTTAAGTAAAAAGAGATCGCTATATACATGGGCAAAGCCAATGCAGCGCGCAATGCCGAGGTTGTGCGCGGTACCTAGTTTGTGCAATCCTAGGATGTTTTTTTAAGTGAAAATAGATCGATGTGTACATGGGCAAAGCCGATGTAGTGCGCGGTGCCTAGTTTGTGCAATTATAGGATTTTTTTTAAGTGAAAATAGATCGATGTGTACATGGGCAGAGCCAATGTAGTGCGCACTGCCGAGGTTGTGCAATTCTCTGATATTTTTAAGGTGGAAATAGATGGATGTGTACATGGACACCGAGCTTTGATGTTTTTCGGGCGAATTTCGTTGTGTACAAAGGAAAACGAGATAATGTGTGATGACGAGCTGTAATGTAATGTATTTTATATGCAATGTTTAACATATCGTTTGTGTATTTTAAATTTGTATTGTTGTTTTAATTGTGAATTATATTTAAGACATCATTTTTCATTTAAATTGTATTTTAATGTTTTGGTTTGATATGTTTATAATGCTTTCCGACTTACGATATATATCGATAGCCCGACGATCTACTCAACAGTAGCAAAACTGTAAACTTTGACCCTATAAGTAACTTTTACCTCATTATTATAATACGTAGTGTTTGCAAACGTAATCGTACTTGATAATATGAGTTCTTTGATAATACAGTGTCTCACAAAAGTGATGGGACACTTGTGCTTTACAAAAGGAAACTGTAATAAAATAAATTAAAAAAACATGTAAAAATTTTTTGTGGGTGTGTTTCATACTTAATTTAAATTAGTAACAATTATTTACATCACATACATTTTCTCAAAATATTAATTTA